CTTTTCCTTCTGCCAGAACTAGGTCAGATATTCTGGGAAGCCTTGGTTGCCCAATCACCCCCACAGGGATTACTTCCTTTTTCTGGAGCATCCTTAGAAGGCATCTCTCACTGGGCACGGAGCATAGGTGGTTCTCTTACTATGTTTGCCAGTGCTTCGTCAGTCACTCTATATTGAATTGCTTAGCAGGTGCAGGAACACAAAGCTAAGTAAACACATACCCTGGCTTGAGCGGTCCCCAGTCTGCTGTGGTAAACAGCTTGGCTTCTCAGAGTCTGTACACTTCTAAGGCAGAGGTCTTTGTGATTCTTTCTATTTTCTTTTCAGCAGCTTCCTGACTCAGGTAAGAAGCACTCAGTGAATAAGGGTTGATTCAGATATGCAACCAAAGAAGACTCTCCCAAAGACTGATGCTTGAAAATGCTTCCTTTTAACTCAAAATTTCTAACACACACCAAAATTTAGCACTCTGAACAGAGCAATACTGCTCCATTCCTTTAGGCGTTTTCTAACTACCATTTACCGGCTCTCTAATTTAGGAATTCTGGAGGGGACTAGAAAGGACAGAGGCAGGGCGGGGGGTTGGGGAAGCGGGGTGATGATGTATTTGCATAACAAAATATGTTTCTAGTAAGAAATTCCAGTCCCTCGAAATTAAAAAGAAACCCAAACAAATTTGCAAGGGTCAGGGGCAGTGCTTCACCTGCCTCTTACCTCCAGCAAACTCAGTCATTCAGAATGTCTTTAGAAGGTCCCTTTTCTCCCCCGCCCCCCTCCCCCCACGACTGGAGGTGACATGAGCTAAGCACAATTATTTACTTCTAACCAAAAAGCACAAAAGAGAGTACGTGGACCACTGCCCCCAAGAGTGTGGAGCAAAAGGCATACATTTTTCGGAGGAGATGGCAGGACTCCGCTGCCTGTCATTCCTTCTGGGGCACTGGAATTCACCTGCAGGACAGTCCCAGACCGCGGCGGGGCTGCCGCGGCCAAGTGGCCCCACCCGGCCTCCTCGGCGCACAAGCCCCGCCCACCCTCTCGTTGCGGCCCCGCCCAGCCCTTCCGGTACCTGCCCCGCCTCGCGCTCAGAGCGGCAGAGCGGAGACCCAAGGCCGCCTGTTCTGACCCGTGTCCTTTCCCGCCAAAGCAGATTTCCATTGGACCGTCTCGTCAAGATGCAAAGAATCAGAAAATCAGAGGGGTTGGAGGAAAGGGAAAAGAGGGGATGGGTAGGATCGTTTCCTTTTATTTATTTTTTTTAACTTTTAATTTTAGCCAGTTATCACAACATCGTTTGTTGCGATCATTTCAGATGGACAGCAAAGGGACTCAGCCATACATATACATGCATCCATTTCCCCCCAAACTCCCCTCCCATCCGAAGATTATTTTCATTATGAATTGATAGCATAAAATTCTTTTTTTTTCTTGATAGCATAAAATTCTATGCAGTCTCAATATTGGTTCATCAGGTTTGATTTAGAGCAACATTTTAAATGCATGGTCTCTGTTCTCCTACAGTTTACTGACAGGAGTGAGTTGGTCTCAGCTGGATTCAGCTTCCTGGTATGAAACCCATGACTTATTTTGTGACAACACAAGCTGCTGGTCATGGGTATCAGTACTTATTTCCAGGTAAAAGGGGAAAAAGAAGGAGAAGAAAATAGTATCTGTAATGTAATTATTTTCAAGAGGGATTTTTACAAACACCTTCATGTAAAAGCTCAGACATATTAGGAAGGCTTGTTTAGAGTTTCAGAAGGACCTGAATTTCAATCCAGCTCTGCATCTCACTAGCTGGGTGACCAAGCAAACTATTTCAGCATTCTAAACCTGAAAAATGTGAGGGTCAGACATGTGTGACCAATATGATTAGATAGTACAATATAAAGGACAGAACAGAATGCCTGGCATTTAATAAGCCCAAATGGTTTCCCAGATTGCACAGCGGTAAAGAATCCACCTGCCAATGCAGAAGAGGCAAAAGAGATGGTTTTGATCCCTGGGTCAGTAAGATCCCCTGGAGAAGGGAATGGCAACCCACTCCAGGATTCTTGCCTGGAGAATCCCATGGACAGAGGGGCCTGGCAGGCTATGGTCCATGGGGTCGCAAAGAGTCAGACACAACTGAACAGGAGCAAGAAGAGGTTTTATGCCAAAGCTGGGGCTGCAAGTGGGAGATGTATTGAAAGCACAAAGTCAAGAGAAGAAGCAGAATGAGATCTCAAGATGCTTCCCAGGGCAGGGGAGGAGAATGTGAATCTCAAAGATGAGACCCAAGAGGTAGGCCAGGCCAGGAGAGCTCATGAAGGACCCTTAAGGAGTCTGGGTTATTTCCTGAAAACTGGAAACCTTTAAGCAATGGAGCGACAGAATCAAGCGTCACTTTCAGAAACTACATTCTGGTGATGGTGTGAGGAGGTTAAAGGTGGGAAGTGGGACGTGAAGGGTAACATAAAATTGAGATGCAGTCATGACCCGTTTACTCAAAAACCCAATCATGTGCGCACGATTCCATCCCCTGAACGAGAATGATACAGGTCAATGCCTTTAGAGGTTTCTCAACTGCTCTTTATCCACTTTCTAATTGGAGGATTTTTAAGCAGATGATGATTAGCAAAATTGCTAACTGAAATAACGAAGATGTTAAGAGAGACTACAGATTCCTGCTTGGGAAATGGATAGAACACAATGCCATTCACCAAGGAAGGGAGAGAGGAGAGGAAGACAGGGAAGGAATGGAACGGGGATGACTTCAGCTTGACCTTCCGGATTTGGGTTCCCAAAACACCCAGAGGCACAGATGCTCACCCAGTGGGCAATTATGTAAATTTCATCTGGAACTCAGGGGAGGAATCTGAACTAGAAACAGAGTCAAAATGCATCACTCCTGGGAAAGACTCACTTGGGAAATGTGTACAGTGACAAGAAGACCAAGATTAGAATCTGGGCACCATCATCATTATGTTCATTTTATATTTTTCATCTGTTGCAAAGTTTATTTAACAATATGATACAAGAAGCGAGTTGGTGGTGGTTTAGTCGCTAAGTTTTGCCAGACCCCATGGACTATAGCCTACCAGGTTCCTCTGTCTATACTTTACTATTCTATACAGTGATTGAATCTTCTTGAATTTTCTTATTTATAGTAATTTTAATGCTTGCATGATTTATGCTAGAATTGCTTTTCTTCATTTCAAGTTTCACATAGAAAAAAAGAAACGAATGCTTCTTTTCTATTAGCATAAGCATGGCCCAAGAGAGTTATCATCCCTATTTTTTGTCTAAAACCAGTTTTATCAGAAAAACAAAGCAACAATTTCTACATCTGCAAGACAAGAGTTTGGCTTAAGTCAGTACGTACAGATAGATGTGTGTGGGGGTGTGGATGTGTGTGTACACAGGCGCCAATTCTTATTGTCCAGAGTAATACTTGGAGACACCCACATAATTCAGTATAGAAAAGGAAAATCTTCCCACTATATCAGAAAGTTATCAGGATACATTCTAAGCTTTTATTATTTCAGGAATAGGTTTCTGAATATTATTTTGCTTCTCACTTTCAAACAGAAATGCTTGAAGTCTTGAAATACAAATAAAAAATATGAATATACTTTAAGGATGATCAGTGAAAGGAGAGTCTAGAGAGGAGACCCAGGAAGAGCAGCCAGAGATGAGAAAGGTAAATAGTGCCGAATGCAGGAGGAAACGCCAAGGAGGTAATGGAAAATGCCCAGGGGACTTAGTAACTCAGATGACCTCCAGGAAGTTAGTTCAGAGGCTTGGTGTGGGCGGATGGCATTCTCCTTCTATTTCGCTGTGACATTTGACTCACCGATACTCAACTTACAACTTTTCTGTTGGTGTAAAAAGCAGATGAGGGGCTGCTTGGGCCCGAATGCAAAGTGTCTTGACTCAGCAGAGGTAAAAAGTCAACTACCAACTGCTCAGAAGGTCAGCGGCGGTAACCAGGAGATGCATGTGGAGGCATTATGCTGGGTGGGCTAAAGAACCTTCAGAAAAGCTTCTTTCTGATCGTGGTCGCGTGCTCTATTACCCTAGTATAAAGAGTTTAGCAAGGAAATAAAAAAGTTCATTTTAGTTACAATGCCTTTGAGTTGCAAAGTTCCATCCAATAGTTGAATTTTAATCATCTTTCTCTACTTGCACATCCTCCAAACCCAAGTGAGGGTCTGTGCACTTTTTCTTTGTCCCGGTGGGGTCCTTCAGAAGAATTCAGTGCTTCGGACCTGAAACTCCAGTGCATCGGTGTCTTGAATACCGGTGGGTACCACGCAGGCATCCTGCCTGGGGCCACCCTGGGCAGCGAGCCCCAGGGGCAAGATAACGGCCCCTGCAAGGTCTATGGCTCCTCCCTGGGGTCCTGGGCAGCACCCCATGTGTGAGCATGCAAAAAGCCACAAGGAGGTGCTCGCCACGGTCAAGGCCATTCCAGGGCAGGTGGATGGGGACCCAAGCCAGCTGGAAGCTTCAGGCTCTCGCATCTTCCTGTGCAAGCAGCCCACCAGGGTGCAGAAGACTTAGCAGAGGCGGGGGCTTCCCCTGGAGAATGACAGCAGTGGGTGCCTGAGCAGCTGTGGGTGGATCCAGGTTAGCAGGCAGCACGCACAACCACGACGCCCAGTTTAAGAAGGTGCAGCTTACAGAGGCCTCCGTGCAGCTGGGCGGGGTGCTGGTCCTGGGGGAGTGACCTAGAGCCTCTGCTGAGCCCACATCCAGAAGCTCCAGCAGGAGCTCAATGGTCAGCAAGTCACATCCTTGATCAAGGCCCTGAACTGGCCCCCAGGGGGTACTTCCTGGCTGCGACTCCTGCCAGCCACTTCCTACAGGATAGACCTAGGCCAGGAACCCCTCAGCTGCGTGATTGAGATGGCACCGAGGCGGCTTGTATCCTGGACCCAGAGCCCTGGGGGGCACGGCCCAGCCTGAGCTCACACTTCCCCTCTCCCCACCTCACCTTGCCCTCCTATGCCCCTGGCATGGCCAGGGGTGGGCACCACACTCCTGAAAATGATAAACTGCTTGAGGCTGCCAAGAGGAATGACGTCTGTAAGACCCAGACGCTGCATGGAACTGTAGGAGCCACCGGTTCTTGCTCCCCGTGGTCAGTACCAGCAGCAAGGAAGGGATCTGCTATGTGCTGGACCACCCCCAACTCCCCCACACTGGTCCCCCAAGCCTTGAACCTGGGGAGGAAGGAGACCAGTCTGCACCAGGTGGCAGCCCTGGACCAGTGCACCAGCTGCCTCTACATCGTGGAGAGCGGGGGAGCATCCGTCATGAAGACAGAGCAGCTGGGGGACCCGAGGAGGCTGAGAAGGCTCAGGACACCAAGCTGCCACCTCCCTAGGGGTCAGCAGCCTGACCCTCTGAAGCACCCAGAGGACTGGGAGGTGGCTGTGGGGCTGTGAAGCCAGTACAGGGCAGTAGGGGACAGAGGCAGCCAGACGTCACCCACCCCCCTTTTGGTCCAGCCTTGCTGCCATGTGCCAGCTGGACAGCCGCCAGGGGACCCACGGCCCAGGAAAGGAGCACGGCGTGCCCCCTGAGAAAGCGCCCTGACCTAGGGATGGACTCCGAGAGGCCAGAGGGTCTCACCTCTTCCCCCTGAGGCCCCAGCTTGATTCAGAGGCTCTCAGGGGAAGAAGAAACTGAGGCAGGGATTAATTCCTGAACACAGATACTGTGTGAAAAGAACAAACTTGCATATGGGCCTTCTTGAGATTTCTTAATGAATAAAAAATTAAATGGATGGTTTACTTATTGCCAACATAGTGATAAATTAGATATGGGAACTAAGGTATGTGTCAGCTTCTTTTTTTTTTTCATGGACAATGTAATTTGTTAGATATAAAATATAAAGGTCACAAAATAAATGTACTCAATTCTGGAATGTACGGAATTAATTAGAAAAAAAAATCAACCAACTTTCCCACATTAAAAGACACAGAGCTAATTTGTCACCTTCTCCAGCATCCTCCATTCCATCCATAATCATTAAAACAGTGGTAAGCTTGTAATTCTTCCATTTCACTTTTTGACATTGTGATCTCACTATTTCTTTTCCTCTGAGTTGTTTCAGCAAATGTTGGCATGAGAGATTCTGTACATAATGAAGGCACAATCATCTTCTTTCAGTTTTCTTGACAGGGTGTGTTGGACCAGACTGACCATCTCACATGGATTCAAAGTATTTGGAGGTGTGGCTCATGTGATCTGTGGTTATATAGTTTTGCTGGCTTGTACATAAACACATTCTAAAAGCCAGACCTAATCCCAGGAAAGAAGCATTTCCAGCTCCAATAGAATATTGCTGTCCAATGGAAACACAATGTGAAATGTAGACGCAATTTAAAATTTTCTAATTTGGAAATAGTAACACCTCTCTTAGCTATGTCATTAGAAAAGCCCCTAATGCTGGGAAAGATTGAAGGCAACAAGAGAAGAATGCGGCTGAGGACAAGATGGTTACATAGTCTCCCAGACTCAATGGCCATGAATCTGAGGAAACTTTGGAACATAGTGGAGAACCGAGGAGCCTGGAGTGCTATAGTCCATGGGGTCACAAAGAGCTGGACACAACTTAGCCACTGAACAACAACAAAATGGAATTGTTCATTATACAGAGTACCTATTATTATTACCAATTTGACTTAAGTCTCAACTGACATTTGTTGAGTATCTAGTGTGGTGCAAACATCTTCAGTTCAGTTCAGTTCAGTCACTCAGTCTTGTCCGACTCTTTGTGACCCCATGGACTGCACCACGCCAGGCTTCCCTGTCCAACACCAACTCCCAGAGTTTACTCAAACTCATGTCCATCAAGTCTGTGATGCCATTGAACCATCTCATCCTCTGTGGTCCCCTTCTCCTCCTGCCTTCAATCTTTCTCAGCATGAGGGTCTTTTCAAATGTGTCAGTTATTCACATCAGATGGCCAAAGTATTGGAGTTTCAGCTTCATCACAGTCCTTTCAATGAAAATTCAGGACTAATTTCCTTTAAGATGGACTGGTTGGATCTCCTTCCAGTCCAAGGGACTCTCAAGAATCTTCTTGAACATCACAGTTCAAAAGCATCAATTCTTCAGCACTCAGCTTTCTTTATGGAAAAACCACTAGAAAAACCATAGCTTTGACTAGATGGACCTTTCTTGGCAAAGCAATGTCTCTGCTTTTCAATATGCTGTCTAGGGTGGTCATAGCTTTTCTTCCAAGGAGCAAGCATCTCTTAATTTCATGGCTGCAGTCACCATCTGCAGTGATTTTGGAGCCCAAGAAAATAAAGTCTGCCACTGTTTCCATTGTTTCCCCATCTATTTGCCATGAAGTGATGGGACCAGATGCCATGATCTTAGTTTTCTGAATGTTGAGTTTTAAGCCAACTTTTTCACTCTCCTCTTTCACTTTCATCAAGAGGCTTTTTAGTTCCTCTTCACTTTCTGCCATAAGGGTGGTGTCATCTGCATATCTGAGGTTATTGATATTTCTCCCAGCAATCTTGATTCCAGCTTGTGCTTCATACAGCCCCAGGGTTTCTCATGATGTACTCTGCATATAAGTTAATTAAGCAGGGTGACAATATACAGCCTTGACGTACTCCTTTCCCAATTTGGAACCAGTGTGTTGTTCCATGTCTGGTTCTAACTGTTGCTTCTTGACCTGCATACAGATTTCTCAGGAGGCATGTAAGGTGGTCTGGTATTCCCATCTCTTTAAGAGTTTTCCACAGTTTGTTGTGATGCACACAGTCAAAGGCTTTGGCATAGTCAATAAAGCAGAAGTAGATGTTTTTCTGGAAGTCTCTTGTTTCTTTGGATGATCCAACAGATGTTGGCAATTTGATCTCTGGTTCCTCGGCCTTTTCTAAATCCAACTTGAACATCTGAAAGTTCTCTGTTCACATACTGTTGAAGCCTGGCTTGGAGAATTTTGAGTATTACTTTGCTAGTGTGTGAGATGAGTACAACTGTGCAATAGTTTGAACATTCTTTGGCATTGCCTTTCTTTGGGATTGGAATGAAAACTGACCTTTTCAAGTCCTGTGGCCACTGCTGAGTTTTCCAAATTTGCTGGCATTGAGCACAGCACTTTAATAGCATCATCTTTTAGGCTCTGAAATAGCTCAACTGGAATTCCATCACCTCCACTAAGTTTGTTCGTGGTGATGCTTCCTATGGCCCATTTGACTTCGCATTCCAGGATGTCTGGCTCTAGGTGAGTAATCACAGCATCGTGGTTATCTGGGTCATGAAGATCTTTTTTGTGTAGTTCTTTTGTGTATTCTTGCCACATCTTCTTAATATCTTCTGCTTCTGTTAGGTCCACACCATTTCAGTCCTTTATTATACCCACCTTTGCATGAAATATTCCCTTCGTGTCTCTACTTTTCTTGAAGAGATCTCTAGTCTTTCCCATTCTATTGTTTTCCTCTATTTCTTTGCATTGATCACTGAGGAAGACTTTCTTATCTTTCCTTGCTACTCTTTGGAACTCTGCATTCAAATAGGTATATCTCTCCTTTTCTCCTTTGCCTTTCACATCTTCTCTTATTGGTAAGGCCTCCTTGGACAACCATTTTTTCTTTTTGCATTTCTTTTTCTTGGAGATGGTCTTGATCACTGCCTCCTGTATGATGTCACGAACCTCCATCCATAGTTCCTCAGGCACTCTATCAGATCTAACCCCTTAAATCTATTTGTCACTTCCATTGTATAATCATAAGGGATTTGATGAATGGTCTAGTGGTTTTCCCTACTTTCTTCAACTTAAGTCTGAATTTGCCATATTTGGAGTTCATTTGCCAATAAGGAGTTCATGATTTGAGCCACAGTCAGCTCCCAGTCTTGTTTTTGCTGACTGTATAGAGCTTCTCCATCTTTGGCTGCAAAGAATATAATTAATCTGATTTCAGTATTGACCATCTGGTGGTATCCATGTATAGATTCTTCTCTTGTGTTGTTGGAAAAGGGTGTTTGCTATGATCAGTGCGTTCTCTTGGCCAAACTCTGTTGCCTTTGCCCTGGTTCATTTTGTACTCCAAGGCCATATTTGCCTATTACTCCAGGTGTCTCTTGACTTCCTGCTTTTGCATTCCAGTCCCCTATAATGAAAAGGACATAGTTTTTGGGTGTTAGTTATAGAAGGCCTTGGAGGTCTTCATAGAACCATTCAATTTCAGCTTCTTCAGCATTACTGATCATGGCATAGACTTGGAATACTGTGATATTGAATGGTTTGCCTTGGAAATGAACAGAGATCATTCTGTCGTTTTTGAGATTGCATCCGAGTACTGCATTTCAGACTCTTCTGTTGACTATGAGGGCTACTACATTTCTTCTAAGGGATTCTTGCCCACAGTAGTAGATATAATCGTCATCTGAGTTAAATTCACACATTCCAGTGCATTTTAGTTCACTGATTCCTAAAATGTCAGAGTTCACTCTTGCCATATCCTGCTTGATCACTTTCAATTTGCCTTGATTCATGGACCTAACATTCCAGGTCCCTATGCAATATTGCTCTTTACAGCATCAGTCTTTACTTCCATTACCAGTCACATTCACAACTGGGTACTGTTTTTGCTTTGGCTCCATCTCTTCATTCTTTCTGGAGTTATTTCTCCACTGATCTCCAGTAGCATATTGGGCACCTACCAACCTGGAGAGTTCATCTTTCAGTGTCCTATCGTTTTGCCTTTTCATACTGTTCATGGGGTTCTCAGGGCAAGAATACTGAAGTGGTTTGTCATTCCCTTCTCCAGCGGACCACATTATGGCAGAATTCTCCACCGTGACCCATCTGTCTTGAGTGGCCCTACATGGAATGGCTCATCGTTTCATTGAGTTAGACAAGACTATGGTCCATGTGATTAAATAGGTTAGTTTTCCATGGTTGTGGTTTTCATCCTGTCTGCCCTCTGATGGAGAAGGATAAGAGGCTTATGGAAGCTTCTTGATGGGAGAGACTGACTGAGGGGGAAACTGGGTTTTGTTCTGATGGTCAGGGACAGGCTCAGTAAATCTTTAATCCATTTTTCTGTTGATGGGTGGGGTTGTGTCCCCTCCCTGTTGGTTGACCTGAGGCCAAACTATGGTGGAGGTAATGAAGATAATGGTACCTCCTTCAATAGGTCCCATGCATGCACTGCTGCACTCAGTGCCCCCACCCTGCAGCAGACCACCTCCAACCCTCGCCTCCACCGGAGACTCCTAGACACACACGGGCAAGTCTGGGTCAGTCTCTTGTGGGGTCACTGCTCCTTTCTCCTGGGTCCTGGTGCACACAAGGTTTTGTTTGTGCCCTCCAAGAGTCTGTTTCCCCAGTCCTGTGTATGTTCTGGCAGCTGTATGGTGGGGTTAATGGTGACCTCCTACAAGAGGGCTCATGCCACACCCAGGTCTGCTGCACCCA